TTGGGGAATTCTGCCCCATTGCCTCTGCCCTGAGCCAATCCTTTATGTGTGACTGCTTTGGGAAACTCGGCAACTGATCTCCCATCTGACAAGATAGACCTTTAGCGGAATTAGGTAATACCTAGTGTAAGCTACTGTGAATGATTTATGCTATTTAAAGGAAACAGAATGAGTGAATGAATTTCTTCTGCTGAAGATAAAATTCTGTCTTTAGATAGTTGTGCAACATTTTTATTACACAGTCCAATGCAATTAATTGTAAAGGCCTCTGCACACCAAGGCTTCTTCAAGCATACACAGATTTGGTTCTACTTAGATTACTTAAAGCAGTACTGGATCATTTAAGTTTTTGCAACATGCATTAAAGCCACAGAGCTGCTTTAGATGACATGTACTTGCAAAAGAATTCTGAGTTGGATCGTTTTCTTTTCATTTTCTAGCCAACAGACTGCAGAGAGCAGTTGGACAACTTGATTACACAATGAATTTTTAACGCAGTACGATAATAGGATCTTTTTGTAAGCATGAGTTAACCTGCATCACGTCCTGAGCTGTCACCATTTCTTTCAGTAGGTTTTCTACTGCAAAATTGCACACCTCATTCTGAGATGATGATGATGCTTATATTACATTTATATCCTGCCTTTTCTCCTCTTGTGAAGGCAGCTTACCTAGTCTTCCTTCACTCCATGTTATCTTCACAGCAACAATCCTAAGAAGTAGCTTGGGCTGAGAGCCTGTGACTGTCCGAGAGTCACTGAGTGAACTTTGTGGCCAACCAGGGACTAGAACCAAGATCTCCCAGGTTTCTAGTCCAACACTCTAGCAGGCCACACAGTCTCTATTTCATGCAGATCATGCAAAACAAATCTCATCCTTTTTTCCTTTGTGGCCAGTATCTAACCCTTCCTTCTTTACTGGGAGTGCAACGTTTTGTCACCCTTTTAAAAATTTAGTATTAGTAGTATTATGATTCTATTCATATTCCACATTTTTTCCCTGCAGGGAATGCAGGCCAGCTTAAATGTTTCTTATCTTCACAAAAACCATGTCAGATAGATTAGGACAATCAACAGTTAACTTACCCAAATGGGCTTCATGGCCAAGTGAAGACTAGTACCTGGATTTCCTGGTCCAAGTCCAATGCAATAACTACTGCACTGCATTGGCTCTCACCATTGTTATTGCTGTTGCTGAATGAGCAATCTTGCATTTAAGCGTATTGCTAATCTTTTTTATTAACAAAAGAAACCCAGGACCTGTTTTCTCTGCATTTCTAGAAGTCAATTAATCTACAGCCCCTTTGAATCCTTCATCCCCTTTTTCCTGCTTGCTTTTGTGTGAATGTGTGTTCTTTCTTTCAGCAGTGTGCATAGAATCTATTGGTTGATATATAGACCCATAGATGCAATTGTGCAAATTCAGCATGTATTACTTAAAGGCAAGCATGCAATTCCTGAAGGAGAAAACAGGAAAGGCTCACATACTGTTTCAGGAGCAGGGGACTGAAAAGGGAAATGGATACAGCCTCAGAAACCAGCAGGGAGCAAAGCCTTCTGGACAAAAGCACAGGACAAAAAAGAAGTGAAGGGTGTACGGTAGGCCCCTTTCAGCCTTGTTATGTAGATTCTAGCCCAATGTACCCATTACCTAGATAGGCCTGGTTGCCACCATCACGGTTACTTCCGTGCTGCTCTGGAGAATGTTTGCATCTTCCTGTGGTGATGTACCACTGGGCTAGTGAGGGGGCTAGTGAGGCCCCCTCTTTATTATCATGGATGTCCTAGGGAACCCCACTGTCAGTAACAGTCAGGCATTTTTCTTCTCACAACAACAAGAAGCGTGAGGATCAGCAGGCACTTGGTACTTCTTTCGGCTTCCTGCACCATGATTGGAATCCTAATTGTGCAGAGGCAATTCAGAAGTGCAGCAGTCCTCCTGCCCCAGATGTTTTCCCTCCAGCACATGGAGGGTAGTGGGGATGTTGATGGGGACATGACAGGAGGTAGAGTGAGCTAGCACATCCCCACTTGCCTTTTCATTGTGTGAAGAGAAGAGTGCCTGACCAGGGCTCATGTGGGCAGATGTTGTCGGCATGAGTGGCAAGCAAGCAGCGAAGGGAGTGGCATTTAAATGAGCAAGGGAGGAGGTAACTGCTTGAAGTAGGAATATATGAGAAATTTGTTTCGGTTTATTTTTATCAGAATTGCACACAGTTCACACATTCTAGTTTGAACATGGAATGAGATGCAGACTGTCACTGAAGTCAGCAATATTTCCAAGCTTAAAGTGTGGTTCACATACCAAGAAGTATATTCAGCAGCTTGCGCTTAGGTTTTTTGTATCTTATATCCCATGTTCAAGCCAGAGAGTGTGAATCGTGTAAAACTGCAACAGTATGGCTTTCTCCTTACTGATCTTCTTTGAGTTCTAAGTTTCTCCTTACTGATCTTCTTTGAGTTCTAAGTTGGGCCTTTTCAACATAGCTTTTTCCCTCCGTGTGTTCCTTGAAACTAGGGAATCAGCAAAACTTGAGCTCTCCATTCCAACTCAAGTCAGATTGCAAGCTTTGTTCTCGGGTTGTAGGGAGTGGTCAGAAAGTAGAACCTTAGATGTTCCTGACTTCAAGTCCCAGCATTCTTGACATTTGCCATGTTAGCAAGGGCTTTGGGGAGTTGAAATCCAAAACATCTGGACTTCTACCTTCTGTTCACCCCTGCTCCACAACTCACAGTCTAGACCATCCTGTTGTTTCCTAAACTAGGAATGAGTAGAGAGTAGATCCAGATCTACTGCAGATCTCAGAATGAGTTGTAGATTGGCAAGGTTTTCTGAGGCCCAGTTACTTACCAATGCAGCAACAAAATGGCTCCCCCAATTCCTGAAATGAAGAAATCCTGGCATAACCAGAAGGGGATGTATGTGTGGAAAGACGGTGAACTTCATTCAGTTCTTAGATTCCATTCATTCCCTGGCCTTCTAATTCTAAGTAGACATATTTTACCCCAAGCTTCTGTTGATGGGTAGATCCCACTAGTTTAAACCATTCCTCTCCTGCCTTATGAGACCTATAGCCAGTCCTAGAAAATTACTATTATGCTTTTAAATAGGACCCAGGGAAAACCCTGTCTTGATTAACAGGCAAGCCCCTTCCCATCTATCCCAAATCTGAAATACACACACAAAAAGCTCAAGGACTGCAGAAACATGGTTCTGTGCGCCCGTATATACTCTAGCAGCTACACAATTACTGGCTTTAATAATTGCAGTTATGCTACTGAGCACAAATTTGTTTGCAGTACATCATATAAACCAACTGTAGCTTCCTGAAAATATAATGCAGCAGTTTCACTTACACAAAAAAATACAAATGAGCTACCATCATTCACCTTAGAGATTAGATTTCAAATATCATACTCTGGTGCAGATCAGTTTGCTTGAATTTTATCTGGACTGCTTTGCAGTTACACAGTAGCCTATAGAAATGAGATTTCAAATGGCTTGCTATGAAAAGTCTTTTAATGCTCTGACCATTGGTAGGACAGTCCATAAATAGATAACTACCAAGCTAAAGCTATTTTAGTCCTTAATGAGCTTTTCTAAGAGCCTTTGTAGAGTCACTTTTTAAAAAAAATAATTATTCATAGCTATTTGGAGTTTAGTATTTATTGCACTCTGACCTACCATTCCCTCATTCACAGCTAATTTTAATTTAATATCCTGTATACAAAATACTTGGCAAAGGTTCCAACCTTTCCTTGTGGGTTGCTTTTATTATGTTTTGTGTATTTGTTTTTAATAATCTTAGAAGACTTTTCACCTCTTTTTTGTCTTTGCAGACCAAACTGCAGATAATATAGCTGGCTTTAGGGAGAGGTGTTCTGCAAAGGGAGTTTTCTAATGGGCTTCATTGGGTTTTATGAGCTATTTCAGCATGTAATAGCCTTGTCACATTGAGCCAGAAAATGAGGGAAGCCATGTACTGAATTAAATAACTATTTTGTCTGTATTAGTTATTAAATGTTGATGTTAAATTAAGACTTATCTGCGTTACATTCTAATGCCCAAATTGTTCATTCTCCATTCTCTGCACTATAATAAAATTTAGACAACATAGGAAGATGCATTTGCATAGGACTTAGAAGAAGCCATGTTGGGCTTGATTTCAGTGAAGCTAAAGGAAGGATGCAAGTGAAGATAAATGTTCTCTTTCTGCCTTACACTAGGGATGAGCGGAAGGTAGATCTGCTACTACCTTTGGCTTCTAGCTTTCCTGACTATCAACCATGCTGGCAGGGTCTTCTGGGAAGTTGGTCCAAAACATCTACATTCTGGCACCCTCTGCCATGGACCTGTAAGGAAGCCTAGCCTGGAAACCCTGTAAGAAGCATCATATGACCAGATGCAGCCGATTAGTGAAAGCAGATTTCCTTGGCTGATCTGGCTGGTCTCCCTGCAATTCCCTCCTTTAGTTAGTCCTACTAGTAGTGCCCATTCTGAAGCTCTGCTTGACATCTTTCATGTCATTAGTCATTGGCCGTGGGCTTGTTTTCATGATGGATAATGCCAAGAGTTGGCTGAGGGGGTGTTAGTGGAGAATTCTTCTGTACCATGTAAAAGGAGCTGCTTTTTTACTAAGCATTTGTGAGCTTGGGTGGACTATGAGGGATGGTGGAGGACAGGAGAGCCTGGAGGAATGTTGTCCATGGGGTCATGATGGGTCGGGCATGACTTTGTGACTAAACAACAACAACAACAAGAATTTTGACTTAACAAAAAGCCATATAGGCATGTTTTGAGTGTGTGTATCTCAAGGTGGGTGTTCTGAACCAGACATGAGTATGTATTTGGGATACAATGCAAGTCTGATTTCAACAAACCACACCATGTCCTGGCTAAAGCTTAGCTGTTGATGAAGTTTACAGTGTTACTCAATGCATTTTTATCTGTTCTCTTCAATTTCATCTTATATTTTGCTTTTCTTCTGCACACACATGTAGCAAAACGTATAGCTATGTACCAGGAAGCTGATTCTGAAGATGAGGAGGTTTCCCCTAAAGCAGGGACATTGTCTCAAAGGGACAGTATTTGCAGTCATCAGAGTGTTAAAGTCATCCACAGGAACCAGAGCACCAAATCTCATAGGCGTACTGGGAGCAGAGTGGAGGCCAAAAGGGCAAGCATCCTTTCAAAACACACGGCTTTCAGTAGCCCAATGGTAAGTAGGGTCGTAGTATCATAGAATCATGGAAGAATGGAGTTGGAAGGGGCCAAGAAAGGCAGAACACAAGTAACTGATACTCTCTTTGTTGAAATGGATGCCTTCCCAATGAATCAGCATTTTAATGTCCCCATATCTTCTTGTGTTTATGATTTTATAATCATAATCCATATTTAATGCACTGTTTATTATAATCATAATAATAGTGGGTAATTATAATCTCTTCCTGTATGGATCCAAAGGTCATCTTTGGAGGCGTTTTTAGATGCTGCCACCAAAGGAAGCTAGACAAGAGGCTAGAACAGAGAGAGGCTTCTTGGTTTTGGCATCCCACTTATGAAATGTTCTCCCTAAGTAGGCTCACCTGGTGCCCACATTGCTATATATTTTCTTATTTCTCCCAGACATTTTAAAAACCCAGTTTCTGTTCTTATATGTCTTTATCTATTGCTGTGCTGTTTGTTGTTTTGTACTGGATTTTTGGCCACCTAATACTTTGGCCACCTAATGAGAAGGAAGGACTCCCTGGAGAAGAGGCTAATGTTGGGAACAATAGATGGCAAAAGAAGAAGGGGACAGCAGAGGATGAGGTGGCTGGATGGAGTCACTGAGGCAGTTGGTGTGAGGGCAGGTGGAGGGGGATGGTGGAGGGCAGGAAGGCCTGGAGGAATGTTGTCCATGGGGTTGCGATGGGTTGGACATGACTTCACAACTAACAACAACAACAACTGGGTTTTAGTCATTTAATTATTTTCATTGCACTTGAACTGTTTTTATTGCAGTTTTGTCCTTTAACAATTCTTAATCTGCTCAGATAACTTTTGTTATAAGGTATATTAAAACTATAATAAACAAGCTGGATTAAAACTGTAAAAAATAATTCTAGATAAGGAGTGTACAGTTTATGATTTACTCAGCCATATGTGATCCATGACTCACAGATACTAGCTTGCCACATGCTCAGTAAACTTTCTCAGTTTCTGTTCATCATGAAAAGATGCCAGTTTCAGCAACCTTACACTGCTTCCAGTACCTAAGAACACAGTTTCAAGTATTTAAAATATTCTATTTTTAAGAGGATTTCTGGACAGAAGAAAGCCCTTTCTGTATTGAGTCTGTTTCTGAACTGACTCTTTATTCTGCCATCAGAAGATTGCTTGGCCAACCTTACCCCAGACAAGAGCACTTCTGGAATGCCTCACAAATCATCAATAAACGAAGACAGTCCCTGCCCGCAGGCTTATAGTCTAAAAGGGCATTCTATACAAGAAAAAGAAATAGGGAGGGAGGAGGTGGGACTAAGTCTTTAGCAGTCCTGGTACCTTGGCCCTCCTCCCCCTGTTGGTGGTAGGGACAGCTGAGAGAAGAGCCACCTTCGTGGAATGGGACCTCAGGACTGGTGAAATGCCTCTCCTTTCCCATTCATCTCCCTCATCTAGGCCCAGAAGGCTAGTCACTACCCCAAGGACAGAGAGCAAATCACCTGTGAATTTGGATTGGCTAATGAAAACACAGAGTGCGGAAGAATCAGAATGACTGACAAAATATATGATAGTGAGACAGCAAGTTTGTTTTGGGATGGTCTCACACAACAGTGTTTGGCTCGTCATTTAAATAGGTTAGAAAACTCCATCTTGTAACATTCATATTGCTAGTTAAGTTTGGTATGTTTCTAAAAGAGTTACTTTTAAATATGTACCTAGCACATTCTTCAACAGATTTATTTTCATTGGATTGGATACAGTATATTTTGAAAAAGGAAAGAAAGCCAGATGTTAAGGAGAAAGGTTCCAGAATTGGTTGCAAAGCACTGTAACAAGCTATCTTAAATTTTGCTAGTGACCTTCCAGCACCCCCCAATGCATTGCTGTATCTAATCCAAACACATCTGTTTGAAAAGGGAAGGGAAGGGAAGGATAAGGTAAGCAAAACTCAGGGAATGTATCTGATCAGGGTGTATTTCTTTTCAATCTTGCTGCCTACCTCATCCTATCCCACTACTTGTAGCATGATATGATGGAACACAGAACCTGCTTTGCTTTATGATGTACTGCTTGCCTAGGTAGCCTTGAGTACAACTTCAGACTGCATTGCATTGCATTGCATTGCATTGCATTGCATTGCATTAGTGATACCCCACATTTTTCCGGCAAGAAACCCAAGTGCTCTTACACAGTCTTCCTCCTTTCCATTTTATCCACACAACAACCCTGTGAGGAAGGTTAGGCTGAGAGTCAGTGACTGGTCCAAAGTCACCCAGTGAGCTTCATGGCCAAGGGGAAAGTAGAGCTATATCTCCCAAGGCTCAGATCAACACACTAACCATTACACCACACTGCACTACTGCAAGCTTCTGCATATTATTACAGGTTATTTGGGGAAAAGGAACATCTTTGCATGAGGCCCATAGCCTTAGCCCATGGGTGAGCAGCCTCAAGCTCAGAGACCAATACAGGTCTCTGAAATTCCCTCAAAGACTGTGCCAAGCACACCCATCATTGGGTAGTTTCCCAGTTTTTATGCATTCCCTCCACTTTCAAATGTTAAAAGGGGAGCTAAGCCTAAGGATTAGTTACTAGCAGTAAGAGCTTAAAGCTCAATTTTGTTGGTATTTGTACTTCTGATCTGACCCCTTTTATAGTTGGCCCAGTGTGCCGCTGGCATATGATCCCTGAGATTTTCTTCAGAGCTGAATTCAGCCCCTGAACTGAAAGAGCTTTCAGAGCCAGCTACTTCTCTTAACATGCCTGGCAGATACATGGTCTAATGTTGCTGTTTTCTGCTAACTCCTAGGTGTCATATTAACCATGGCAAGTTACAGAGAAACAGTCATTACCTTGTTCAGAAGTGTTTGCCAACCAAGGAAAGATAATCCCACCCTTCCTGCAGCAGACTAGAAAATGCTATTTGTAAGCACAAGTCTTAGATCGTGATGTTCTTTGGGGTGAGAGAAAGTGGGTTAGCTTGAAGACACAGATGGGATTATCAAAGATACGCTTGATGAAGCACATCTGCAAAACAAGCTCAGCCCGAAGACTTTGAAAGGTGCTATACGAGTGCATCGACCTGCAAATGATTCACTTTGCCTGCCTTTTGATTCTAGGAAAAAGATATCACGCCTGATCCTAATTTGCTGCAGAAAGTAAATGAATGTGCAAACTACCTGGAGATCATGAGGAGCCACGACCAACCCTTATCCCAGCTCTCTCCTGAACTTTCAGACATCTTCGACTTTTTCATTGCCTTGACAGTTTGCAACACAGTGGTAGTTACATCTCCCAATCAGCCACGGCAGAAGGTAGGTCAGGTGAGCGACCATGTCAGGAAAGTCTCAGAACTGTGCAGTCCAGTCTGGTGCTTCTTTACCAGCCACTGGCAGAACCAGTGAGGCATAAGTCAAGTGAGAATACAGACCGATCTTGACCGTGTTCTTCAGAGCCTTTTTACTAATTAAGGCTTGCAGGTTCCATGGGGTTTCCTTCCAAGTAAGTCTACATAGGATTCCAGTCTTAATCTCATTACATTTAATTGCAAAAAAAAGCTATTTAGAATCACAGAGTTGGAAGATAACTCGAAGGTCATTTAGCTAGCCAACCTCTTGTCACTGCAGGAAATCCACTACTGCATCATCCCTGATAGGTGGCTATCCAGCTTCTGCTCAAAAGCATCTCTCAAAGAAGAGTGCAGTATTTCAGAGTTTAGTCTGTTCTGCAGTCATATAGCCCATACTGTCCAGAGGTTGTTCCCAATACTTCTAATTTGAACCCATTGGTTCAGGTCCACCACCCTGGGACAACAGAAAACAAATTTGATCCATCTTCTGTGTTTAGTCCTTCTGATAGTCAAAGATGATTATCATATCACCTCTTAATAATCTCCTTCAGACCAAACGTACCCAACTTCTTTAAACTTTCTTTAAAGGATCAGCTTTGTTGCCCTCCTCTGGGCATGTTTCATTTTGCCAACATCCTCCTCAAATGTTATACCAGGAACTGGACACAACTGGAGCTCTAAAAACCTATTTCATGATATTTCATTAGTATTACTATTGGAATAAGGACTAAGTAGTATTTCATTATCAGAAGGAATTTGCATAGAGAGAAAGGAGATAATATTTAATGCATATCACATCTTATTTAAAGGCCACATGTGGGAAAGAACAATTAAAATACTAAAGGTTTCTTTCTGTCCCTGCAATCTAAGTTGGGTATTGCAAGAACAGATGCAACTTGACAGAATTGTGCTTTTTTATATAATCACAATAGAATTGAAATGGTCCCTTACTCCCCTTCTGACTCCTCTAATCTCAAACACACATATCCTAGAAATGGCTCTGCCTCATTGAATTCTTGATGCACTTAAAGTCAAGTCCAACATTCACTGGCTGAGGTGACAGAGTTCTCTTGGAGAAAATATGTGCATGCACACTTAAAGAATGTCCCACAGCAGGAAGAATGAGGTGTGTACATTCGAATGATTTACTGTTGTGATCTGCTTTCTATTTTAGGAAAGGTGTGATAGGTTTATTAAGGAAGTATGAATGCCTGACCATGTCTGGTGTACCGTAAAGTAAAACATGGGAAAATGTGATGGCTTGGGTCCACAAAATCTTGACATAAGGGGTAAAAATTATATTTCACCCCTCATTGTATAATGTATTATATAATCTGTATTATATAAATTACTAAGACAGAAAACACTCAGTCTTTTTTTAAAAAAATAAAGAGCCTGTGTGGTCTTAAGATGGTAGAATTTATCTGGGTTTGGGATCATTTTGTCCATTGCTTTTCTGTTAAACTGAAAACAGTTCTTTCATGAAGAGAAGATCATGGATCTTCTCTCCTGTTAGCGGAAGGGCCTTGATCCCTAACACTGAAAAGGCATCATAAGGCTGTGTACCCTTTGCTGTCCCTGGGTATATCTTCACCCCTCTGTCTCAGTTTTGATCAGAGACAGCACTGGAGATTCCTCCAGGAGGATTCTGGAGAACACATCTGGAGGAATCTTGGGGCTACACTAGATGACCCTTGAAGGAACCACAGGCCAGATTGGCAAGGCCTGTGAGCCAGAATAGCTTGCCATTCCCTGCCTGCGAATAAGCTTTTGTGCTGTTTTCTGTTTTTCAAAATGTTTTCTAAGTTCTGAATTAATGCAGTGAACATTTGCAGTGCTTTGTCCTCCTAACTTGTGCTGTCAGATAGATGCATGCCAGATATCTCACCTGACTCCTTTCTTGGTGGTCAATCTTTATATCTCAAGGTCAGAATCAGATTTGAACTGAAGTCTCCAGTAAAGACCATCGAGGACTTCATTCGGAGATTTACCCCAAGCCGCCTGACCTCTGGGTCTAACAACAGCAGCTCATCAAGCCTGGCCACCAGCAAGTCAATGCACCGAGTTGGTTCTAGCATCATTTCATCAGTGTCAACAGAGAGCACTTTACTGAAACTAGAAGAAAAGCTGGCTAATTCTTCCCAGATGAATAACAATGGCTATGCTTCCCAGCAGTCCAAATGGACATCAGGGAATGGGCCAGGCGAGGGTGAGCTACGTTATGAGGCTGAGAGCCCGGATGAGGCTGCCCTTGTCTATGCAGCAAGAGCCTATGGCTGTGCTTTGGTTGGTAGGTTGCCTGACCAAGTGTCAGTAGAGCTGCCTCATCTGGGGAGACTAACTTTTGAACTCTTGCACATTCTGGGCTTTGACTCCATCCGAAAGAGAATGTCAGTGGTAGTGAGGCATCCTCTCACAGATGAAATTAACGTTTACACTAAAGGAGCGGATTCAGTTATCATGGATCTTCTTCTGCCCTGTTCTTCAGGTATTGACTCTCTCTTGATAACTTTCTCTCCGGTCTTAACTCTCTCTGTTCAGGTATTAACTCTCCTTTGATATTCCAGCATAAAGTAAAAATAAACAACTTAAGTTCAACTTTCTCAACAACCACCTTGATAGATTTGTAAGTTCTTGCTAATGTTAAGAAACTCACAGCATTTTCTGTCATTTTGATTTTTCAGGAGCAGCTTCTAAAAGCAGGCTCTTTGCCTGATCAATATAAATAAATGGATCAGTTCTGTAAGCATTCTTTCCAAGTACTCATTGTTGAGTATCTTCTTTCATCTCTCCATTTCAGTTAACATTCCTTTTAATATTGGGGGCACTAAGCATTCTTCACTACAGCTCTCCCTTGGTTTGCCACATTTTGTGGCCATTTCTTCAGGTTACAGTACATTCAGACAACAACAGTTCCATTCTACACATGACTCTTAAGGCTAATAGTGACTCTCCCTCTCAAAGTACTGCTTTCAGTGGGACTTGTAGTGAATTGATGTACACTCAGTCTGGTGCCAGTAGAGTTTTCTGATCCCTTGGGGTGGGCCCTTCATGCACCCAGTTTGTGAAGATGGATTTCAATGAAGCACCTTTGTGAGAACTGCTCAGCACAGCTTATTGGTTGCTTACGTCTTCTTTAGCATAATTAATTACTAGTTGAGATACATCAAGATGTTAGGAATATGAGGGCACCTTATTCCCCCTTGTAAATTCATTGAGAACAAGATTCCCAGAGCTGAGCTGTGGAGGATAGCCACATTCACTTTTAACTTTGTTTGGTGGCTATCAAACACTTCATGCCAGCATACAAAGCAAGGGTGTGGCTGCTGAAACGCTTTCAGCCCAAGAGCCCAATTCCAAATTCCAGTTTGACAGAGTGCTCAGTAGTGGGTGGAGCCAAAGGAAAAGGGGAGTGATAAAAACAGTCCCACCCTGTTTTAGCTTAAAACTCTTATTGCTCATAACTGTGCATTAAGAGAAGGCATTTCAGCCTTTCAGAATGGGTAACATGTTGTATAAAAGCCATGAAATCAGACAATGAGTTTTGGGGTGGGGGCTGTGGAATGGGGCAGTGCCAGGAAAGGGTGTCTGTCCAGATGGGAGCACTCCCACCCACACTATCCCCAACCTTCAAATATCCCCGTTTCATTTATGGACCTGAACCTGGCTAAAAGTTATTTGAATTCTTCAAATATAGAGCAAAAGAATCTCAAAGATGTATGGATGTGCCATGAGCCAGAAGTGATTTTGAATTACTGCATCTTTTAAACACACAGTACCATTTTTGAAGGGGGAGGAGTAAGTATCTAATTCCCCCCCCCCAATTTGTTGAAATTATTGTTCAGCATTTGAGAAGAGAAATATCTGCTAATCAATAAAAATGTGGTGTTCTGTGAATAGTTATTTAGCATCACTAATAAAATATGGAGCTGAAATGAATATTGTATTGCAGGTTTGCTAGTCAAATTGGATTTTTTTTACACATTTGCATTTTGTGGATCCATGAAATTTAATTGTGTGGTTTACTGCAAATGTCCGATTCAGCATAAATGTCTTATCATGATTACTTTAGAATTACTGGAAAATGCTGGAGCAAATCACCTTGAAAGATTTTGGTTCTGCAGTGTTTGTTTAATGAAATATAAAAAGTTGCAAACATAAGGCTTTTAACCCCCTTTCTCCTTCAACAACATTAAATTGAAACAGGACCACAGAATTAAGAATTGTTTGTCATTCTACCAGCAGAAAATAAGTTTTACCATCTGATAACATTACTTAGGTCACATAATCTTTTAAAATAAAAATACCTTGGAGTGCTTGTTTTCCTTCCAGTTAGAAGAGAAACGTGTGGTGCCAAAGCAGCTATAAACAATGTTTATAATCAAGGCTTTTTATAAATATTATATGAAATATGTATTAGGCATATCCCTGCATTCATTGCACCAGAAATGAATGTGGTATCTGGCATAGACTTGAGCATGCTGGGAAAAGCCACTTTCTAGGTTAAGACAGATAATTATCCCTTTTATTCCCCTGTATCTTTCAGTGATTCCAACTGGATCACTAAGTTACAGGTACATTTTTAACCTAAGTATAAATACAGGAAAATGCAATCTAGCATAAATATTAAATGTCCAAGAAAGCAGCCTTTCCAAGCTAGGCAGGGCTGTGTTGCTGCCACCTTATGATGGGGAATTCCCAGTGGTTTGGCACATAAGACACAGTTGCCTCTCATGCAATCTCTTAGGAACATTGGAAGCTGCCTCATGCTGAGCCGAACCACCAGTCCTTCTAGCCCTGTATTGTCTACAGCAATTTCTGAGCTTTCCTTAAGAGTGTCCAGGAATTAAATGGGAACCTTCCGCGTGCAGAATATGTGCTCTATCCAACGGAGCTATGGCCCTTTCCTCTCCCCACTTTTCCTTTAAAAACAAACCAAAAAGCCCTTTAAACAAACCAAAAAGCCCTTGAAACAAACTGAATACAAGCCCCACTAAGGGTGAGTCAATCAAAGGAAGCTAGACATGCACAGAATTAGATCAAGACGTAGGTGGTGTTGCCGGCATCTGGGACAAACAATCTGTGTTCCACCTTTGTCTTGCCTGTTTGAGCCATCCACAGGGAGCTGCCTCAGTGAAATTCAGCAGTATGTATCTGATAAAGTAGGACGGGCTTGTCACACTCCCTAAGTAGAGGATGCAACTGTAACTCCATCAGTGTAAGCCACTGAATACAAAAATGTTATATAAGCGTCTATGGCAAGTTAAAAAGGGAGAGAAAAAATGGCATGCACAAAATATTTCTTTTGAGCAGAAAGCTTTGGGTTTCCTTTGGGACAGTAACACTACTGAAAGGTAATGTTTTTAAAGCTTTATATCCAGCCATAAGGAAGGAGAAAGCACTATTCATGCCAAGACTCTTGAATTATTTTCATTTCATTTTCGTTGAATTGTATCCAGATGACCCAAGAAACAAGCATCAAAAGAAAATCCGAAGCAAAACTCAGAATTTTCTTAATCTTTATGCTGCTGATGGATTGAGGACTTTGTGCATCGCGAAGAAAGTAAGCACCTGCCGCTCTTTCACTTTTACGGGTTTTTGTTTTAGTTGATTTATGCAGCACAAATACTTGGGCAAAAACCCAGTGTGGTATAAGCCCAGCAAAATCAATGGGCTTTCTTTAGGCAAGCTCTTCTGGACTGTGGCCCATGTGTTCTCTCTCATGGTAAAAGCACTAGGACTTTTTGATGAGCAGGGATGGTGATGTCATCTGCCTGCCCCCGTCATACACACAAGGTCCCATCCTTGTTCCCTCTGAGCAAAGCTGCAGTCCTAAGAAGCTGCTTCCAGGCAGGAAGTGTTCTGAGTTGTTCCTCTTCTGATGCAAACCATTTTGAGGTGGCTTGATCTGAACAGGTAATTCAGACCTTTTGGTTTTACAGCAGAGCAACTCCTGGTGGAAATGATCGCTGCAACCACGGGCTTATTGATATGAATGCAGCCTGCTACCTGCATTTCATAGGTGTGGCTCTGGGGACCATCATGGTGAGTGGCCAAGCATCAGAGTGCATCCGCGGCATCACTTCCCCTTCTTACTTGTATTTTGCAACAGGTGCTGAGCAAGGAGGAGTATTCTTGCTGGTTAAAAAGCCACATTGAAGCAGAGTCTTCTATTGAGAACCGGGAAGAGCTGCTGTTCCAGTCGGCAACTCGTTTAGAGACTGATCTGCATCTGCTAGGTAACGTCAAAGGAGAGGGGTATGCTCCCAATGAAAATGAGTCTTCTCTGCATAAGGGATTTAACCCACTGCTTTACTGGGGTTTCTTCCATTTTCGCTGAAGGAGGAAAAATGTGTCCTTAAAACAGGTTCCTTTTTTCCAGGGGCTTGCTTTTCTAAACCAACCAAAAAATGGCTCTGTGATATGGCTCTATGCACAGCAGACTTGCAACAATACACAAGGGTTGTTCCAGTTTGCTATGATTTAAAATGTAGTGCCAGACTTTCCTGGCTCTAAAAAACCTGCAAAACAGGCTAGACAATATGGGAGAGGTGCTGGTGGATAACAGTGTCATTAAAAGGCCCTGCAAACTTCTGAGAGTGAGATATTACAAAAGCACAATAAATACCTCATGTAGAGAAGGCCTGAGGCTTTAGAAGCACTTTTTTCCATATGACAATTAATTTCTGGACTTAGTTGCAACCAGGAAGCATGCCCAGGAAGTTGTATGGATACTCTGCTATTCGGGTTCTCCTTCCCTCCTTGTGCTTATGGGTGATTTCCACTCCCCATCACTGCTGCACCCTTTGGGAAAACTGCTCATTCACAGAGTAGTCCCAGCTCTGGGGTTTCCTGTTTACAGTGAACACTTAAATTTCTTAGCCTAAGAAACCCTCTGCCACTGAAACTTGGTGTTGACCAAGGGGTCCATGCCCTGGTGTGCGCATGCCCAAAATACATAACAGGGGAGGGGTTTTTTAAGGGATTTATTATACTGGCTGCCAATGAATTGTTCCAGATGGCGCCCCTGAGCAGTCCTCAGTTGACCCTTGTATACATTTATCATTACAGGGTTATACATAACACAGTTAACACTTTCTGATAGGTTACAGAGTAAAAAGTTACAGTGGCTTGATCTTTCCCACTTGCATACCAAAGAAGATGCGCCTAAGGATAGGGGAGGATGGGGTGTTATTACATAGATGAGGAGTAGGTGGTGTGGGCCAGTGTGAGTTGCCCTTTGTTTGAGCAGCTGTTATCTGTCAAGGGCCAACTAGCTTTCTCTGGTCAGCTACATTTTAAGAATGCACACTTGCTGATTTCTAGAAAAGAGGCTTTTTTTCAGACCTGGTTATATGTCAGTAATTGCATGATTTACCCAATGAAGATTCTACCTTTTGATCTTTACATCATTCTGTACATTCCACCTTTTCCTGTTGCTGCCAATTCTCTTAGAATACTCTGAATGCTCCTAGTAGCTGGTATATGAGATTCACGCACTTAAGACAAGTTGAACAATTAAACAATGGGTATTTTGCACATAAGGGATTACAAATATTTACTTTGGCATTTTCAAAAGAGTGCTTAGTGACAATTCTTTAGGACCCAAGCAACACTGATGCTGCTAGGAACTTCTTTTACCTCAAGCCAAATACTGTAAACCTCCACCCCAGCTAAATACCCTTAAAATCAGGTCCAGCTTCAAGGTAAAATCTTTCACTGACATCCAAGTGCCTCCTGTTGGCTGCTTGGATGGATTATCTGGGTTCTTACTGCCTCTTATTTAACCTTCCACTGGCAAGATCATAGGCTTGTGATCATCACTAACTACCTAAGGTCCTCCCACAGAGAAATAATAGCTATTCCCTTCCTCCTAAGCTTTTGTCCTAAAACACCTCACACCAGTCGGGATACTCTCTTCCTCTCTCTTCACATTCAAACTCTCAACTATCATATCTTAACTGCCATTCCCTTACTGTTCTTTTCCATCTAACTAGAATTCCTAGCTAAACAGAATTGCATTTCCATGACCCAGGCCCCATCAAACAACAATCAAAGCTATCGTTTCTTTCTTCCACTTCAGAATATCTCTAAGTAACTACTACACAGGACTTTAACCAGAACTAGGTTTCAGACCCATTCAGATAAATTATTATTGCACAAAATGCATATTACAGACCCATTTGTTATATATAGTCTCCAGAATGCTCCAGAATGGTACTTAGCAAGTTTCCAGTTCTCATTGCTGGGAAGAAAAATTCAAAAGATATTCCAAGGGCATTGTTTCCTAAAGACCAACATATTGAGGACAGGAATGATGTACAGATCCATCGGTATCACTTTCATTGGTAAAACCATGCAATCATTGACACGTAGCTAGAAGAACCCTCTTTTCTAGAAATCAGCATGTATGCACTTGAAATGTAGCTGAACTTAACCAGGCACCATTCCAGAGAGGTCCACTTGACTCGTGACAGATAACCGCAGCACAGACTAAGGGCAGTTCGCATCAACCCACCCCATCCGTCTCCCCTCCTTCCTAGCATCTTTCTGCTTTGGTATACAGGCAGGAAGGAGCACGCCGTTGTAACTTTTTACTTCTATAACCTACTAGAAAGGGTTAACTGTATTACGTGTAACCCCTTCATGATCAATGTATAAAAGGGCCAACAGAGGACTGCTCAGGTATGCCCTCTGGAACGATTTGTTGGCAGCCAGTTACTCCCAAGAATAAATATTTTAAAAGAAAACTTTACCCTGTTGTGTATTTTGTGCATATGCACACCAGGGCGCAGACCATTTGGTCAACAGGAAGACTAAGAGGCTTCTAGAGGTTCACAAGTACCACCATCTATTACAAAAAATGCCCACCGTTTTATATTTTACCAACTTGATGTTTTATTGCTGCTAGGCTTATTAGATGCTGTTGTTTAGATGATGGACTGATTGTATAGATTGATGGTGTTTCTAATTCTGATTTTGCATATGGTCTTACTCTATGGAAGCTGCCTTGTGAGGGCATGTACCTTAAAAGGTGACCCGTAAATACCACAAATAAACATATACTCTCCCAGTCACCTCAACAGATTGAGCAACTCCAAAAGCATCTGCTGTGACCTGCATCGAGGTCAGCGGAGAAGCTTTGTGAACAGTCTCAGCGTAACAGTAACAAAGCAGATCTGGCGAGCCTGAAATCTCCCCAGCCCGATGGAGGCAATAGTGCCTGAGTCCCACCCTGTCACGTTCAATCAAATCACAAATATCTGTTCTTCTTTGAACTGTTCTTTCTGTTGGCCCCAACAACTGGGACCATAAACCCTCATTTCAAAGAAAAATCTGCCCACCGCTATTGACTTTGTATGAAGTTTAATGAGTTGAAAGTTTACTTGAATGCAGCTGGATAAATGAAAACAGACTCCTGTCATAATGTAACCGTCTGTTTTGCCAGTTAAGCCCTGAGCAACCTATTCAGTAATGAAAGGACTTAGAATATGGTTAACTGTTAAAAACAAAGCAAAACACCCTACTGCAAAAGCAGCCCAGAGAAGAAAGGTTTCTTCTGCAAGTTCCTAGAAGCCACTCAAGGCTGCTGCTTCCACAGACAGATTCCCATGTTATTTTTCCCTGCTTTTTCTTGCATGCTGGTGAGGGAGAGAGAAATGGTTGACTGTGCACATCCAGGCAATGTGAAGATGTTTCAGAAATCTGCCCTTAGCAAATTCCCCTGTAGACATCAGCCTCAGACACAGGACTAACTAGAGTCGCTCACTGCCCAGCTGATAAGCCTTGAATAAGCATGGAAAGGTAATGCCAGAATTTGTCCCAAGCAGCATTGTCCTTCTTTATCTAGTTCATTACCTTTGGGGAATGTACTCAAAACTGCAAGTGGCCGGTCTATTTTTCTCAAGAGCAAGACTCATTTGCTTGGCAGTCTGTGCTTGTTTTACTAGAATTGTTCTCCTGACAGTGCTGCTCTTCCACACAGAGCACAGTCTGCATCAATCTGCTGCCTTCAGCTTGAGACAAAGTAAAATCCATCACTTTGGCAGCCCAGATCCAGACCCCTAGCTAGGTTATGGCTTGTAGTTTGCTCCCATTCTTACAGACAGCATTAAAGGCCATCTTTGCCAACCTGCTACCAGTGCAAGAAATTAACAGCTCCTCTAATAAGTGCTATTGGTTTGAGTCCCCTCACATATTTGCATTTATTTATTTATAATTCCATTTCTATGCCACCTACTAATGAGGTCTCAAGGTGGCTTGAGACAGGGCTTGGTCCCTGGCTTCACTGCCCTCCTCCGGATACATGTTCTGTGTGCGATGGGTACATGTTAGAGCACTTTTGTCTACAAAGTTCCAGTCTGTCTGAGTTCAACTACATCATCATCATATTGCATTTATATCCCACCTTTTTTCTTCTTGCGTGGAACCCAAGTTGGCTTACACAGCTCCGCTTTATCATCACAACAGGTAGTATAGACTGAGAGCAGTGACTGGCCCAAAATCACCCAGAGAGCTTCATGGTTCAGTGGGACCTCGAGCCTGGATCGCTCATGTTCCCAGTCCAACTCTCGAACCACCACACCAGCTCTCCTAATCTAACAACTCTTAGTTCTGCAGTCAGAATTGTCTACTCTGTATCCATTCATTACCAGAAGGAACTGCAATGTTTCCTTTTGTTTGGGTTGTCTTCTCTTACTTACATAAGATAAACTATTTAATATTCTGTGTTCTTCTCTTTGCGTGGCAGGTGCAACTGGCATTGAGGATCGTTTGCAGGATGGTGTCCCAGAAACCATTGCCAACTTGCGTAAGGCTGGGCTCCAGATATGGGTTCTGACTGGAGATAAACAAGAGACGGCCATAAATATTGCTTATGCTTGCAAGCTGTTGGATCATGATGAGGAAATCATCACCTTAAATGCTGATTCACCGGTATGATGGCTCTATCTTGAAAGAAGAGGCCTGTCAATCTGGCGGGACCAAGGCTAGACACAGCCTGTCAGCCATATATATTGCTGCTGCTATGATGTTTGAGGTTTAGCAAGCTACTAAAACATGAACCCATTTTCTGCCTGATGATAGAAAAATGCCTGGCTGTGTTGAGGACCATTGTCCAACATCTGTCAAGCTACCCTTTTTGACAGGTGGGCTGTCCAGCTTGGTGGATCACAAGTTATGCAGGTGGAACACTGAGAAGGCCTATGCACTTTAATGTGTAACTATGGACTGGATGGGCTTGTATATGGAAGTTCTAATGCTTCTTCCATTAGCCTTTCAATATTTCTTTCCTAGAGCCATCTTTTTCTTTGTGGAACATGCTGTGCTGGTTATGCCTACTATATACCTTGACTGGGTATGAAACCCTGGGAAAATAGACTACCATTCAGTGCAGACTGTCAGTTCTGAGTCCCATCACAGAAGTCAGCAGTCAGGGTCACATCTTGTATAGCACAGTACAGGAAATGCTGGCTGGACTGATCTGTAAGGATCTGTGGTCCCACCAAAGGACTGCAATCAGCTGAGGCCTTCAGAAGGCTGACAGAGCCTGGTCTTTCAGAACTGCCGGATCTATAGAACTACAATTCTTATAGAGCCCATATCTGTTTCTACAGTCTTGTGCTCCTACAGGAGATTATTCAGGGAAGTCATCTGAAGAGTTACATAATGAGGGAGCTTGGTGTTCAGGTTGGGACAATACAGAAGCAGATGTCAAGGGTTCCCAAGGAAGTTAGGTGACCTATTACTCTTTTGCATCTGAGTTCTCCTTGAAGTCTCAGTTCCAGGGAACATGGTCCTGTCAAACACATTCAGTATTACCCTGAACCACCATAGAAATAGTCATTGTTATGTTTATCTGTGTCTCTAAGCCCTGTAGAGGTATAGGGGTGCTGATCGGTTGCAACATAGAAACAACAACAAAGAATCTTGTGGCCCCTTAAAGAGTAAGCACGTTTATTGAATCCTAGAGTTTGTGGACTCTACAACCCACTGTCTGCAAGTTCCTTGGGTTACTTCCTATTTAAAGGGATTCCTATTTAAACAGTTAATTCCTGTTTTATTGTGGTTGTTTTAATGATTGTAAGCCGTCCTGAGATGCCATGCATAAGAGACAGCATACAAACGTTTTAAATAAATAAATAAATAAATAAATAAATAAAGGCAGGATAGAAATGGCTCAAATAAATAGAATGGAATACAGCAGAATGTTAAAACAATACTTCAGCTACACTGTCATTGCTATTGTATTTTCCTATTGTTTACATTGTATTTTTCTATTTATTGCTTTCTTTATTCTAGGAAATGTGTGCCACATTGCTGGACCAACACCTGCACTGTGTCAAGTCTAAATTTTCAAATAACATGGTGAAAAAATCTACTCCGAGAGCAAAGTTTACTCCACTCTATGTGCCATCATCTTCAGTACATCCCACCTTGGGCTTAGTGGTTGATGGAAGGACATTGGCTTATGCCCTAGACCAAGCCCTAGAAGATAAATTCCTTTCATTAGCTAGAAGATGTCGTTCTGTGCTGTGTTGCCGCTCTACTCCAATTCAGAAGGGGATGGTCGTGAAACTGGTCAGAAATAAACTCAATACAATGACCATGGCAATAGGCAAGTTAAATAGTTGGTTCACATTAGAGCAAATCCAAAGAACAGACTTTTGTTTTGTTTTTCAGATAGAGGTGTTGCTCCTGCATTTAATAGCTATTTATGTAAGCCTTACTTTTTTACATTTCTGCATTTTACTTGTTTTACTCATTTAAAAAGCTATTCTTCACTGTTGGATTGTTTAAAATGCATTAACACCTAACTTGAGCCTTCATACTAGTATGGACTAGAAATCCATACCAGTATAAAGACTAGAAATTATTTTTTTAAAACATGATTGCATTTCAGAGTAAATTTAAAAGTGGAAGAATATGACAAAAAAAAGCTGCTAGGGCACTTGCCATGATGAAAATTATGAAAAGATGACAAACAAATTGAGGTTGACCATGCTGATTTATGAGGGGCAAACACGTATTTGTCAATCTCCCCCCTCCCACCCCTACAACCAAAGAAGGAAACTTGAGAAACGGACAGACTTGGTTTAGATAAATGCTGAACTATTTGAGACTAGCCGATAACTACTGTGATATTACAGAAGTCTGGAGTTTTGAGATGTCCACCCCATTTTCACATGCATTTCTTCTCTAATCTTGGTTTAAAAATGTGGATTAGAGTCATTCAGATCAATGGGTTTACCTGAATTATAGGTTCATCCAGATCCAATCCAATAATTGCTTTTGAGGATGGGTGAAATAGCAAAGAATTTATCATATATGTATTGCATTGTCTAGGTTAAAAGAAGAGAGGCTCACCGCATTTTATGCAACGTGGAAATAGTTTCTCTTACTTTTGTTTTGATTATCATTTAATTTTGACCTATGTGATCAAAGCAGAATACGCTGTGCAAAGGAATTCTTGCTGAACAACTCATCTCTGTGACTCCCATCGCATAAATTCCATCATCCTCTGACAAAAGCCATTAGCAGAAATTGTACTTTCACTTCATAAGCTGAGCACTGAGAATTACATAATTAAATACAATGAGAATCTGGATTCTGAGGAGAAGGATGCTATCTTTCTCACAAAGTTAGCTTTAGAGAGGAAACAAAGAAAATTGATTTTGTGTGTGTTTTCTTTCCTCATTTTTTTCCTTGTGGAAAAGTATCCTTTCAGGCATATGATGATTGTGCATAGATAAAAATTATGATTGCTATTGAAAGATGAACCCTTAAATTCAGCAGCGGTGCATTAGAGCAATGAGAAGAGGACTGACCAACTGCTTTGATAGACTGTTCAAAGATACGGCTCAGTATAGCCTCTTTTTGTTGTGTATTATTCTTGGTGTTCTTCTGCCTGAACAATTAGACTCAACTTGACTGATTACAGATAACGATTTGAGTATCTACCCCACATACATGATGATGGGGAAGGTAGTATATAACTTTCCCCCATAATAATAATAATTGAAAGTAGCATTTATAAACATGAACGCATGTGCACACACAAAAGACTTCTCCTACTCAGGTTAGTCTGTTGTTTCCTTCTGTGCAGCTGTGTTAAAACTGTATGAAACGATGCTCCCAAAAGTAGCTAAAGGGGACAAACAAAGAGAAATAGAATCTAGCTTTGCCTTTCAAAGAAAAGCAGAGATTACCAGGATTCAATTTGCAGTAACTCATTTCCCACATTTATGTTCCATATCAATGTACAGAACACACACCTTTCTGATATTTTCCCTCTTTTGTACTTCCAGTTTAGCAGTTGCCATGCAGGAGAAATGTTTCCAAAATTCTTTCATTCTCTTCCCCTCCCCCGCCCCCAATAAGAGATGACACATTTGCTATGGTGAAGAGGTTAAGCTGCAGTGTTCTAGTCTACGTTTCATGGTTCTACATATACTAATCTTCACATTCTGCAAATAATTTGTCTTGACATGGAGTCTAAGTCCATATAAGTAAACATGTCAAATTGGCTTTTGAAACTGTAATTTGACTATTAGCCTTTTCATTGCTAAATATCACATTCATGGCACCTTCTCTCCCTCTTGGTTCTCTTTGGCTTCTTAAACTGCTGTTTGCCATCTTTGCTTGAATTAATTGCAAATGATTTATTTTCCATTGTCTTCAGGTGATGGAGCTAATGATGTCAGTATGATCCAAGTCGCCGATGTTGGTGTGGGGATCTCAGGTCCAGAAGGCATGCAGGTAACGTATGCTTACCAGAACGCAACCCCGGGATAAAATTAGTTCCATATGTTTTCCATATGTCCACTTGCATCTTGTTTCCCGGGAAGCTGCAGCAACCTGCTTTATGACAGCCACCGCAGATTTCAGAGATGTTGCAAACTGCCTCAAGGTGGACCAGCTGGGCTTTGCAAAGATTACTTTAGTGGGGCTCTTCTGGAAGAACCATTTATTAGTCATATGTTTAATAATAAGGATATTTCTCCTAAAATTCCGTTCCTTATAAAATGTTAAATAGCTCTTTAAATGTCATGTCTTATAATATACAAAATAATTTTAAAGTAGCCATGTAATGTTACTTTATTAACAACTACCATGTACCTGGAACATTTCTTTTTTCATTAACCTCTGGCTGTGTTCCAACAATCTTAAGGTTATCTTTCAGTACAACAGAAGGAAGTGTTAGTTTGAGCAGCTAAGAGTACATGCAGATGGCTGCAATTGTAGGAATTGCATTGTTTCATTATGTCTGATGCCCAGTATTCAGATGTGCTTCAGCCTCTACTGTCTCCCACCAGTCTACAAAGACCAGGGCAGGAGGCTAACATAGGCTACACAGCCTATGCTCTGGTTTCCCACTTCATCACAGGGATGTTTTAAGAATCCTGCCCTGCCTCGGCAGTTGCATCTCTCCAGATTCAGGGGCATATTGTTGTGTGCTGGAACACTGATGCAGGAGTGCAGGAAGGCAGCACCTTGACAAAAGCTTAGTGCTAACAGTACGCGCAGTGGTGCCAAAGCCGTACTGGTAAAAGCAAACAGCTGATAGATAAAGTATGGAATTCACTACCACAAGATACCATCCGTTTGTGATAGCTAGCTAGCTATTTATTTATTTAAAGTTTTTATATGCCGTCCCCTTGCTATATAGCCTCAGGACGGCTCACAGCAATAAATAAATAAAACAATTAAAGTTAAAACCTGGAAACACACTGGCAGCACAATTAAAATCTATAAATATTAAAGATTATTAAAATACTGTTAGAATAAAAAGGTCTTGGCCTGGTGCCGAAAAACAAATAACGACGGTGCCAGGCGGACCTCTCTGGGGAGCGCATTCCACAGATGGGGCGCCACCGCAGAGGAAGCCCTCCTCCGGGTGCTTTGCTTCCTGATATCTCTTACAGAAGGCTCTTGGAGGAGAGCCTCTGCTGCCCATCTCAAGGGGTGGGAGGTCAAATATGGCCGCAGGCGTTCCTTCAGGTATCCGGTCCCGAGCCGTTAAGGGCTTTATAAGTGATTACTGACATCTTGAATTGAGCCTGGACTTCGATGGGAAGCCAGTGAAGCTGGTAGAGGACTGAGGTTGTATGAGAATAATGCCCAGTCCTCGTCAGCTACCTGGCTGCTCTATTTTGCACCGTCTGAAGTATCCGGACTGTCTTCAAGGGCAGCCCCACGTAGAGCACGTTACAGAAATCCAACCGGGAAGTAACCAGTGCATGTGTCAATGTCGCTAGGCAGTCGTCCTCCAGGTAGGGATGCAGCTGATGGATCAACCGAAGCTGATGGAAAGCACTCCTTGCCACCGCAGTCACTTGTGCTTCCAAAGTCAGCTCCGGGTCGAGGAGCATTCCCAAGCTGCGGACCCTGTCCCTAAGAGGGAGTGCAACCCCATTCAGGACAAGATCCAAGTCACCTACCCAGGAATTCAAACCACCCACCAACAGGACGTCCGTCTTGTCTGGTTTGAGCTTCAGTTTACTGGGCCTCATCCAGCCATTACCTCAGCCAGGCACCAGTTCAATACAGGCACTGCCTCACCTAGATTGGTTGAAAAAGAGAGGTAAAGCTGGGTATCATCAGCGTACTGATGATTCCGCAGCCCACACCTCCGGATGACCTCTCCCAGCGGTTTCATGTAGATGTTGAATAGCAAGGGGGACAAAATGGACCCCTGAGGAACTCCATGGCATAACTGCCATGGCGCAGAGCCATAGTCCCCCAGCACCACCTTCTGGAACCGGCCATTGAGATAGGAGCGGAACCACTGCAAAGCAGTGCCTCCAACCCCCAATCCCGCAAGCCTATCCAGAAGGATACCATGGTCGATGGTATCGAAAGCCGCTGAGAGGTCCAGGAGAACCAACAGGGACGCACCCCCCCATCTTTCTCCCTGCACAGGTCATCATACAGGGTGACCAAGGCAGATTCAGTACTGTACCCGGTTCTGAAGCCGGACTGAAATGGGTCCAGATAATCAGTCTCATCCAAGAGAGCTCCTCACATTGCTATCAGTTTGCCTAGCTTTAAAAGATGATTGGCAAATTGGCTTATCGGTGGTTTAGTCGTGCTCGCTGTGTGCTGCATGAAAGGCAGTATGCCTACATACAGCAGGTTCTCAGGAACATGGGCACAGTTGCACTCATGTCTTGCTTGTGGGTTTCCTGAGGGCAGCTGGTTGGCCACTGTATGAAAGAGTTCTGATTAGACCCACCCTGGTCCAATCCACCATGGCCTTCTCATGTCATTAGACAGTGTGGCCAATCCCAGCACCTTGGTTCCAATTACTGTATCATACACACATTTGTAAATGCATCTTTCATGATTGCATTCCTGTGGAAACATATAACACATTCGTACATACTATGTCATATTTTAGTTTTCTTACCATTTGAATTGTGTTGTATTGTTTTAATCCTTTGTAATCTGCCCAAAGGACATTTGTTATTGGGTGGCCCAAGGGCTGGGTTTGCTTCTTTCACAGTTCAGACTCTGAAAATGGGCTGGAAGAAGAGCAGGGATTGTGTTACTGAAATGCCAGCATTAATGAGTGAGATTAGCCAAATGGCTGCTGAGAACCAGTCCACCTCTAGTTTGGGAGGAGACACTGTAGCACAAGGAGGGTCAGCAGCATGAGCTCATCAACCTAGTGCTTTGCCGTTAAGCCAAACAAACAAACTAATTAAGTGATGTCTGGTATTCTTGCCATCTGGTCCTCAAGCACCACTAACCTCCAGGAGGGTACAGCCAGGCCCTATTGGAAATGGAGGAGGATTCTATTTGAAATCAACTCCTGACATGGGCAAGAGCTAACCCCGTCATTCAAAGAAGCACTACTTTGATAGATGCTACTTGTTTACAATCTTATTATTACTCACTCTGTATTGCAAAACCAGCTTAACCTAATAAAGGACCGTATTTTAGAAGCCTTTCGTTGTGATCTGCTGGTAAGGGTACAGGGGACAGACATGCTCACAACAGGCAGATTAAAAATAAAATCAATGAGGTTGCAAGGGAACAAAATAAAATGGGTGAAGTGGCCTTATGACTACTGAAGTGGAAGCAACCTTGTTCTGCTTCCCATCTGCATACAAAAAACTTAGTTGTCTGGTACTGCATGCACCATAAATTGTCTCTGAGATATTATGCTATTATATCTCCTTAAATAATTCATATAACATTGTCAATATCCATGATTCAAATGTTCACATATGGAAATGAGAATGTATTGATATCCTTCCTTAGACTGGAGCGCTGCGTCAGAAGAGATGCCCTGCCTGCCATCATGCTCTTAAGTGTCAGAATCCCATAAATCATAAAAGAAGTCATCTTTTCCAACATCCCACTCTTCTGCCTTCTATCATATTGATCAATAAGAAGCCTATCCATGTTACTGGACTGTGTAGGAGAGAGTGAAGGACAGAGATCCAGAGATTGTCAAACCATTTTCTTTGAGAAACTTTCATTGATTTGTAAATTAGACCACAGTGGTGTAGATGGCAAACCACTTATGCTAGATGCTTTTACAGGATACCTGGGTGTCCTCCTTTCGTGTTAACCCAGCTATTCTATTGAACAAAATGGGAAGCACTGGAAAATAAGGTGCCAGTGATTCAGACAGAAATGTTCATCCTATAACATGCAACATCAGCTATATTTCTCAGTAAAGGCGTTTCCACTGTGCAAGTCATTAAACAAATAAGTCATCAAGTGACAGGGTACCAAATGAGGGCCATGTATATCTGAATCAGCCATTGTTCTCTTGACTCCTTTGGCAAGCAGCTCAGCTGGTATCCTATCCCTTTAGGAAGATGTGGTCTCTAGTTTCTATCAGTGTTAGCCCAATGATATCCAGAAACTATTTCAATTGTCTAATGAAAAAGAGAAGCAATTTCCGTAATTACAACCCAAAATTATTTTCTGTTGTTGTTATTTCAACTTCTGGCATTGCAGGCTGTGATGGCAAGTGACTTTGCAATCCCAAAGTTCCGTTATTTGGAGAAACTCTTGCTTGTGCATGGCCATTGGTGTTACTCCCGGCTTGCCAACATGGTGCTATATTTCTTCTACAAAAATGCAGTGAGTATTGTATTTATTTAAAACATTGATTTACTGTTTGATTAGCATAATGCTCTCCAAACGGTTTACACAATATAATTAAAATCTACAAAATCCAACAATTTAAGCAACGTAATAATATTGCAAGTATATGATAGCTATGTAGCCATCTGCGTCTCTGGATTGTCCTAAGGAATTCCTTTCACTGATTTTACCTGCTGAGAAGGCGGTGATGTTTTCCCTTTGGGTTTGACTTGGTAACCATGCTCCATGCCTCCTGAACCTTGAATGCACAACTTGCAGGACTGCCTTTCAGGATGCTTCAGAGGCAGAAGCTGCTGCAGACCACAGTGCTCTGCCAAGATAAGGGGAGGGCAGTCAGGAATATTCCATTTTGGTGTTCCAGAGTCTATAGTGATTTCCTGTGGTGTTCTAAGACTGTAACATTTTCTTATGTGGTCCTGAAATGTGGTACCCTAAATAGTTTGGACCCAGATATCCGAGTTACGTGTCCCATCACTTTCCATTAAAAATGTTTTATTAGCAATGCATGCATGAATTGAACAGGAAGGATATATGTAGATAAATTTTAAGTAGATGCTTCATGCACCCTTCTACTTGGGATTCTCACGTGAGGGTTCTTGAACATGCAAATAGCAATGTGAAGCCAAGTTTTTAGTCTTCTGAAATGGACACCACTAATGTATTAGCTGAATACACCTGACATATGAGCACTCAAAAGTAATGCCAGATCTTGGAACAAGTATGCGTGCATCAGGTAGGAGAGACAGCTTGACAAAGAAACAGAAAGGCAATACATGTGCATCAATACAGGTGAGAGATGAAAGATGTGGTGGGGGAAAGAATGGGATTGGGAACTAGGTTGTTGGGATGGGAGATGGACAACAATAGAATTGGGAATCCGGGTCAGAAGAGAGACAGCAGCATGACGGCAGTATCCTTTCCTGGGGCTTATCAACTGGGGAGTATTTGTTGTGTGTGGGCTTTTATCAGCAAAACCTTGGCTGCAGGCCTTTAGATACTGTAGGTGCTCCTTGTTTCAGAAACACGGCTCTGAACCATTCTGTGGAACAGATGCTATAGTTCCACATTACCCCTTATTTTAAGAGATTTTATCTGGCAACACTTGTTAAAATGCAGATGGCTGGCATTTACAAGAATAGCAGACCCTGCTGTGTGACAGGAATCATGTGCAGAAGAATCAGTATGTGTAAATTTGATAACAAGAATAAGATGTGCTACTTAAGAATACTTTATTGAGCAGGGTTGGCTTGCATCGTTTACTTCTCTTAAGCCTTGGGGTCTATCAGCTAGAACTAATCACTGTTTTACAGCTTAGGGCAAAAGCAGATGCAAAATGACAGCGTAGAGGAGAGCCGCTCACTCCTACCTGAAGCTTTCTATGGGCATACACTGGGGCAACCTCCCATGAAATTGTACATCAGAAAAGGACAAGTGCGACCACTGAGGCTCAGTGAGGAGCAGGAATATACAATGTGACCAACAAACCTGTAGCACAACAAACCCAACATTTTTATTTTATTCACAGTCATTATGTGATAATCCTAGTGCACCCTTAAGTTTTATTATTAAAACCCCTGATTTGTATTATTATTATTATACTACCCATAGCCAAAGCTCTCTGGGCAGTTTACAGCAATAATCATAGAAACTTACACTTAAGTCACCCATCCCACCTCTGACCAGGCCTGACCCAGCTTAGCTTCCAAGATGAGGCAGGAACAGGCACTTCAGGCTACATAAATTGTGTGTATAGCAGATATCTGCAGCCTGTGCCCTCCAGATGTGTTAGACCACAAGTCACAACATTGCTACCATTGTCTGTACTGGCTGGGGCAAAAGTAGATTTCTACTGTTTATAGATAACCTTTGGTACACTGCTTTTCTGCATGAAATCATACTAGCTTACAGATGTAGCAGATGATAAAGAAATTATATTTGTATGCATAGTTTTCCCCTTATCTATTGTGAAATTGGTCCTTCTTTGGTTCAGAAAAAAGCCTGGAACTGGAGTTTCAGGACCTAATCCTCTGACAGCCAAAAAGGATTTTCTGACAGCCAAACAAATAATGTATATGAAAAAGAAGATGACTTATCCCTGTTTTACAGGGTTGTGTGATGCTTGCAAATATCAAAGGTTAATGCGTTGCTCTTTTTCTTTTTCAAGATGTTCGTGGCCCTTCTTTTCTGGTACCAGTTTTACTGTGGGTTTTCTGGTTCATCAATGATTGATCAGTGGTACCTGATCTTCTTTAACTTATTGTTCTCATCCATTCCCCAATTAATTGTTGGAGTGCTTGATCAAGATGTACCTGCTGATATATTAATTGCTGTGCCTCAGCTCTACACAAGTGGCCAGAATATGGAGGTAAAAAAAACCCTTACCTTTTCTCTGTATTTTCATGTCCTGCAATGTGAGGTTGAAGCTGATGGACTGACACTTAACTAAAACTTTTTCAAATTATCAGCCCCCAGTGTTGCTAATACAGTTTTGGAAAAATCCTTGAAGTATGTGCAGGGCGCAGAAGGTTTTCCATTTAAAGCAGTGGTTCCCGTATCCTGGGGCCCAGCTAACAGCTTCCCTGTGACTCTAAAATCATTCCAGGAAGGAGGACAAGAATGTCCCTGCCTGCCATTGGCTGAACTGTATCCCCTGCAACTTTTTTGGACACATGAGCACACTGGGAAATTTGAGAAACTGCTGTGGGCAGTCAGGCATTGATTAGGCATCACAAAATGCCTAATCAGTGGATTTCTGCTTTGCTATTTATCTGCTATGTCTGTGGATCTTAAATTGTGTCTTATTTGAGTTGTGTCTTTTGTTTCATGTCTACCGGACACTGCTCCTTCTCTTTATTAAAGGATTGTCTGATGCACTTAATGGTTGGCAGTGCAGTACAGCTAATAATTGTTTGAAATACTCATTTTGGCAATGCCCATTTGTTGCTTCTTTTTTAGGAGGAAATTATTACACAGATAAATTTTGCACTGGAGCAGTCTTTAATATTCAGTGATGTGCACACTCTTTTAAATTATTTACCTGCTTCATGGAAACTAACAAATGGAAGAGGAAATAACTTCTCTGCGTCCTTTTGATAGCTAAAAGATTGATACAAAAAAATTGGAATAGTCACTTCCTAGAATGCAATAGATTGAGGATCTTACTCTGTTTTCACTATATGAATGGATGACATAAAGATGCCAACTTCAAATCAATACTTGGTCCCCTTTTGTTGAACCCTGCATATACGTGCTAGAAAGTTATATGCATTTTGTACAAAACCATATTAAAGAATGGAAAACATTAAACTGGATACATATTTTTTTCAAGTGCCATTGTGGCTATCAGTAGATCCTTGATTTAGAGTCCTGAATGACATTTTCCAGGAATGGCTGTAAGAACACAGGGAAGGATAAAATATTATACCTCATGGTTCCTATGAAGAGGAATCCTAAGGACTTAAGTTAGATTGGGAACAAGATACAGTATTAGACTTGAAAAGCAAACCCAAATGAAGGATCATGAATGCTCTCTGCTCCCATATCTGTGAGATTCTTCTTTAAAGATCATGGTGTGGATACAGACTAAGAAATCATTGGGAATAAATCAGCACTGTTTTATCCCACTAATTTCAGTGGAAACTACATTCAACTAACTTTGTCTGGATTTCATTTGACAAATTGGTGTTATTGTCCATAATTACAGTCTGAGGATTCGGTCCATACTCAGGACTCCGGAGGTCAGGTTGGAGCTAAGGCTCCTTCCCAGTCCATGACAGATTGGCTCAGAAAAGCTTTCCCTTTCCACACAGCGTCTCAGTTGGGGTCAGGGGTGGTGGCACCATGCCTGACACAAGAGCAGTGTGATCGTTAGCAGGGGCCAGGAAGGAGGTAGCCAGGCAGCCTTCGGAAAACATTTTTTCAAGGGCTTCCCTGGGGAAGTGGGCAAGGTTGCAAGTGTAAGGAGACTATTCAACATATGTCAGATTGTAGAAGTTGTGCTGATACGGAAAGGGTGGAGGAGGTGGGAGGCATTGGAAGTTGCTGGGCTGGATTGAAGGGATTGGAACTGCCCATGGGTTTAGATTCTGAGCCAGAGCGGCATTTGAAGCTCACTTTTAGGTGAACTTTATAAGACCCAGAAGCTCATATCTTAGTCTGAGCTCAAAAAACTTCTCTGGGAGTAAAAGAGGCAGAGCCAAAATGCCAAACTTCGCAGTGTATTTTACTATCACTAAATTTACTTGATTTACCAAGCAAGTAAATCAGCCTTTTCAGAATGGAAAACATACTGCATAAAAGCCAGCAAGCCACTAAGCCATCGATGATTAGGGGAGGGGGCTATCTAAGGAATCCCAGAGGGCCAGTTTGGAACCCCGGGCCAGACTCATCCCTTGGGCTTGAAGTTCTGCACCCCAGTCTAGATGGACCTAGTTGAGACCGAAACCCCAAAATATGGGCTACTCACTTGGCACCTTTTAGCAGCTGATGTTTCTTATGAGAATCAGCTTGTCCAATATGAACCTGTCTGTGTTGCTGTCTTGCAGGAATACAAGCCACATATGTTTTGGATGAACATGATCGATGCTTTCTACCAAAGCCTGGTTTGCTTCTTCATTCCTTACTTTGTAAGTGCTCATTTCTAAGCACACGGAGAGTTGAGCCTTTCTTCTTCTGCTCACTAATCAGAGGGAAAGAAACCATTATTTGCAAACAGGTTGTAGGCAAAACAAGAGATGCAAGTGTGTAGCTTCTAAACATACAACTTGACCGCCCTGAGGCTCTTGGTGCAAACAGAGATCCTAAGCTATCACAGGGCTAATTATAAATATGAAACAAGGGCTGGTGCCTGTAAATGAAAGCCATTTCCTGTGAATCACACAGTGGGGGTCACATGTTCTCTGTTCCAAGCAGCAAGGACAAGGCTTTGTGACATAAAATGCTAGTGATGATTCTTCAGAGTAGTATACGAGTGAGACCGGTGGGGGAATCTTCAGGGAGCTGGTGGCAAGCAGTTGTAAAGCTCTGTGCAGTTAGAACTCTGCAAATGGCCAGCACAGAATAGGTGAAGGTCTCCCACCTATTTATGGGCAGCAGGGGACCATTTCTCTGGAAGAAGAAATTCTTCAATATTTTTTTTTAAATGGAGGTGAGCAGTGACAGTAACAGAGTTTTTTCTTTTTTTTCCTCTGGCTGTTGTCAATGTGTTGCTGTTGGTACAGCAAGGGTTGGTAGCCTGGCCACCATTTTCGATTGTCTACCACGCCTGGGCCTAGCATTTAGCATTTTGGTGAGCACATCAAGAAATATTTCTTTGTAAATATTCAAAGACAGTTCTGCTGACTTTTTCTCATGCAGGTGATAGAAACATCTCTGAAGGTTTATAAAGAAATGGCTTCCAATAATTTTTTTCTCAGTTCTAGTTATGGCAGTTCTGCTTTGACGGGCATGAGGAAATAGCAATAGGATGAATTAATATATTCCAAATTCCTCTTTAAATCATGGTTTCTGACTAGCTGGGCATGATCATCGTTTCTATTCGTCCCAGTAAGTAATCCCAGAACAAAAAGGGCTTCAGCAAGGGTAATCCAGAACTAGCATTTTTTAAGTATCCTCAGCTGGACTTCCATGTTTTGACCAGTTCATATATTCTGTTTTATGGGTTTGCACTTAGAATATTTTTAGTATTTTCCTCAATATGTCAAATCCATATTTTGAAACTCACACAGGGCCTTCATCATGAGTTGGGATTTAGATAAACGTCCTTGGTTACGAGGCCAGATTTGAAGTTTTCAAATATGCTAGCCTTCCATTTCTGTGTTTGATATTTTAAAAGACCACAATTGCTTAATGCCCATTTCATGTTCTCAGACATACTACGATTCAGACGTGGATATATTCTCATGGGGAACCCCTATCACCACAATAGCTCTCTTCACCATAATCTTGCATTTAGCTATTGAAACCAAAACTTGGGTAAGTTGGCTGCAAGGCAGTTCCTTCTGTCTATCCTGCTGTACATCTCCCAGTGTCTTCTTGCTTGTTCTGGTTCCTTCCTTCATCCGGGGATGCTAGGAGGTTTGGCCAGCTTGCTCCCAGGGAAAGTCTGCTTTATGTGCATGTTGTAAAAGTGCACTCAACAAATGGATTGCACAGCTTTCCAAGGCTTTTTTTTTTTGGGGGGGGGGGTTAGGAACAGAAGACAAGGAAGGAGCAAAGTAATTGTGAAAATAAAGGGCACAATTCAAAAATTGTGCTAGTAGGCTGAGGAGGGACTTATGTGGAGGTGTTGCAAGACATCATAATTACTGGACACGGAGCATGAATTTGTCTACTTCCTCATGGGGGGTGCAATAGGAATCAGAGAGCTCAGAGTGTCGAATAAGGTTTGACATGCACAGACTATGCTTTTAATACAAGTCTGTTGTTTGTCCAAGTCCTGGAGGCGAATTACTGCTCAGGCAGAGCTAAGCATCCATCCCAAAGGGGGATTTTGAAGCCTCCAGATAGCTGTTGGGATCCTTTGGAGAAAGGTAATGTGCCGTCACTGAGGTTGTGTCACTGAGCACTGGCAAACTCTCAGCTGTGCCCTTTGCAAAGCCTTTTTAACATTGTCTCTGCTACCTATCCCTTAACCTACAAAACACTTTCACTGTTACTAAATCCCAATCACAGTAGATGAAAATGGAAGTTAATACAATGAAAGTGTAAATTGATAACTCTCAAGAAAAGCAGGTAGTGTTCTACAAAGCTGTTTATAATGGTTATTTTTAGTGCAGTTCAGGCTGACGTGAGTTTGCCCACTGCTAAAGCTCTGCTCTGGTGTCTCAGGTGCCATTTAATAGGTGCCTGTGGAACCAGTACAAGTGGCATGCTACAGCAGAATGGGGCTCAAGTTTCCATTTCCTCGGGGAAGAATATTTTCTTTTCTGCAGCGGAATCGTGTGGCTTCAGTGCCTGGCACATTCATTCCCCCATGATGGGACTGTGCACTGGGGCAACATCATTTGACTGATTCAGTTCTGCCTGTAAAGCCATCTCAGCAGATCCACCCCATCTAGCAAGGAGTTGTAGCCAGTCTTATCCCTTCTTAAAGCAGACCCATTGAAATGAACGAGACTTACATTAAATAACATTGGTTACACATCAGTGCCCTTTTACACTGATCCTCTACTCAGTGTTTTCAGATTTCCCCACATATGTAGCAAAAAGGTTGCCGGAGATTTCATTTCCCTACATTGTCAAACCCCATGGCCATGTTGCTGCTTCCCAGAAGGTACCTGAATTGCAAATTAATTTTGGGTATGTTTCTTTCAGACGTGGCTCCACTTGTCATCTTGTGTCTTTAGCATTGCTTTATTCTTCATTGTGGCTCTCGTTTACAACGCATCTTGCCCAGTATGTTATCATCCATCCAATCCCTACTGGATTATGGAAAAGCTGATGAAGGAGCCTATGTTTTATCTGTCTTGTCTCATAACACCTGCAGTAGCTTTGCTTCCCAGGTAGAGTATTAATTTTACTCCTGTATATTAGTTAGTGAATCTTTTTAGTTTTCATTCTATTGCAAAGACACTGGAAATATTAGTAAGTAATTAGGCATAAGGTGAAATCATCGAAATATGTCATAGAGTTGACTAGTCCAAATGAACCAATCATTTTAATTTTAAGCCACTACCCGTCACACAGATATGAAATGCATAGCAAGTTGATCACAGTAAAACAAATGTGTGAACAGGATAGAAACCTATGGAAGCCTGTGCAGACAGCCATGTGGTAGGGGAATGCCCACATGGGGAGGGATCGGGGGGTCGTGCCTGCTGGAACAGCCAGGATCACGTGTAGGCATGGTTGGGTTCTTGCTGATGGCCCACGCCCCTCAGGAGCCTGCTGTAGCTGCTCCTCTCTGCCGTCACAACCTCTCTCCCTTGTTGCCTTGCCTCTCCCTCTGGTCCAGGTGACAGAGGGGACTCCTTGATGGCACTGCCCACCTGCTCACTGGCTCCCTGCTTTCAAGCAAGCGGAGTATGGGACTGGTGAAACAGAGGGCAAGCAGTGACTGTCATGCTGAGAAGGCAGAGTAAATGGAGCCCCATTGTGGGTGTCTTGTCTGACGGTCCTTAAAAACATGGGGCCGGCACAGACCGCTGCCTCCCAACAACGAACTCCATGGATTCAAGGTTTTGTTGCCCCAGAGTCTATGTGCATACATTTAAGCAGGCACAGGCACTATGGCCTACATGTCCCATTTTTGCCTGATACCAGATTGTACACTGGGAGTCTGCATGCACAGACATGCAAATCGATCTTGAACACATGATGGTCATGCGTAAGGCTATGCACTAATTTCTGTGTGCCTCATTTGCACAGGGCCAAAATCAGATATTATGCAACCTGCAACAAACCATATTAATTATGCTCTTATCTGATGGAAAATGTGCAGAGGTGCTGTGGATGCAAAACCTTTTATAAGCAGCTAAAAAAACACTAATGAGCATCATCAATAGCAAGGGAGATGATGATGGGAACACCAGAAAGTTTGAGTTGGATTCCTGCCACCATGAACCCTTTTAGTGCATGCCATTCTGGCAAATCATCCTTCCTGCGCTATTCAGGCAATTGATGCAGTGTTCTTTTGGTGTGCTTTGTTTGAATTCTTTGACTTACTCCTCTTTGACCTGCCCCGAGCAGATTTCTATACCGGACTCTTCAAGGGACACTTTTTCCAAGCCAGCTTCAGCTTGGGCGCCAGTTGTCAAGGATGTCTCCAGACACGCGCAATCTGCTTCTTAACCGATGGAACCGCCAGAAGGATGCTGACCTCCATCAATACCCGTGTGCCCTTTATTCTCCAGAAAGCCCAAATTCTACGGCTAGTGATTCACCAGGGGCGCTGCGAAACAGCACCGCAGAGTTATCTCGACACGGGCCCACTGAAGTATTTCAGCCAGGAAATGAACTCTTTCAGCCACCAAAGACTACAACAGGTTATACTAATCCTGACCCTCCTCTTGGTGCTCAGATATGTGAGGGGAATGGGCATTTCTCAGAGGCTCATGCTCAAGAGGAAACACCTGTGGGTTTTCTCAAAGACTCTCTGGAGCCAGAGCCAACCTTAATGGATGAAACATTCCAGTGGAAACCAATGGGAGACCCATCCAGCTCCAGCCTGTTGAACTGGATCACATCAACTCCACTGTTCAATGGCACTGGAAGTGATGTGCCCCGGTTATCATGCCGTTTACACAATGTCAGGCAAGACAGTACAGTTCTGTGCAGCCGCAGTACTCAGGACCTCAGAAGCTCAGCAGAGCAGCAGAACACAAGCTCTTCTCAGCAGCAGATGGAAAATTCTGCAGGTAGCTGCTTAAGAACCGAATCGCTTGACACAACTTTTTTATGATGCGGCCATAATAGCGCATGTTTTCTATTTGCACAAAGAATATAGAGTTGCTCTGTTTCCAAGATGAGACAGGAAATCAAGGTACATAGTTTTATTTTAAAATAAAGTTTAAGCACAATATGTCAAAAATAAGAGCTTTAAATACAAATAAAAAGTGCATATATGTGTGTGTATTTTTCATCTCATTTTACACAGATGCAATGGGCAGTATCCAACATACCTGCACATTAGTGAGACTTAGCTGCTGGCACATTGGGGAGTGAGTTAGCATTTCTAAAAGCAACCTGAAACAATAGTGCTCATTTCCAGGACAGAGTAGATCAGCAAAGCTTGTGGAAGGCAGTTCCACTGACCTGTCCAGTCTGCCAACATGCATTTCTGTTTCTTTCCAGGGATGCTTTTGGATCCGCTAGTTTTCTCCTGTGTGAGGACTAGATCTCACTTGCACAAGAGGTCGATCAGCAGCATGGTTGGCAGAATTGGGTACTGCTACTCATGATTTTTGTCTTCATTTTGCTGCTGTTCTGTTAGAAGCGCCTTTACCAGGTTGCTGGAGTGATGGGAGACCTGTTGGTTCAACCATCATCTGGGGGAAGGCAGCCGTTCCCCTGTGCTTAATGATATGCCCTGAGTCCTCATTAGGTTCTTTGGTGGGGAGAGCTGCCAGAGGAGGGGAAGTTGCAACACGTGCTTGGAAGCAGATGGTTAGGCTGTCCTTCAGAAACAAAGCACGCTGTGAAATTGAGTTCCATTGTCATAGAAATGATGCTGACGTTTTACACACGTTTTATTTTTATATTTTAACCATAGCAGTTTATGTATTGTGAAAAACACAAATAAGTGAAGACCTATATTGCAAATGTTATCCTGTCTGGCATCAGTGAAGGCACAGCTCATGCCATCATTTGCAGTGAAAGAAGTTGCAGTGTGTTCGGCGAACAGGGAGACCATTAAAGCAAGAGAGAGATTCATTGTGCCATTAAGGGCCAATCCGTACCTTACAGGTGCCGGGTGGTGGCTCTGATAGAACAGGTGAAATTTCTTGGAAGGGACAACAGTGTGCTTCCCACGCCAGCATAGCCTAGTATTGCAGGGAATAACAGTGATGCAAGAGCAACCCAACCATAGTGCCCTCCTAATCTTATGGCAGCGACATGGGATGGGGCCACAAAAGAACTTAATTTATATATGTATTATTATTGCAATTGAATGCCGCCTCATAGCCAGAGGGAGCTCTGGGTGGCTCACACTGGTACAGATAAAATAGATAACAATAATAACTAGAATCATCAATCATAATACAATAAAAATGCTATATAAATACAACAGGAGGATAAGCGTGGTATAATCAACAAGACAATAAACTAGCAGCAAGACCAATAAATCATATTCTAAAAACAAATACTAAGCTAAAAAGTCTTAATTTGGCACTGAAAGCAAGATAATGGTGCCGGTCCCACCTCCTTTGGAAGGGAATTCCAAAAGTGAGGTGTGATGACAGAGACAGGCCTTTTCTTTCACTAACTCCCCACTCACATCATTAATATGGGGGGTTAACAAAGAAGGGCCTCCATTGATGACCTGAGTGGTTTGGTAGAGATACATGGAAGAAGGTGTTCCTTTCGAGATCCCTTAGATAATGGAGCAACACTACCCGTGGCCCAAAGGGCAGCTTCAGAAGGACTCTTGAACCTATAAATCTTAATAAAGGAGGAGAGCCAAAAGCATGCGTTCTCTGTAACCATGGTAGGTCTGGTTCACACATGCATGTTCACGCTCATTTAGCAGTGGCATGCACATGTGAATGCACAGTCACAAGTTAAGCCAAACAGACCAGATTGTCATGTCACTCAAGATCAACTGAAGTTCATGTCAAGTTTAGTGGTTCTCCTTTGGGGCATCTTGTCACTGGTTTGGATATCTTGTCACTGCTTTGGGTATATGAATAAATAAAATTACTGACTTTCTTAGCAAACTTATGCATGTATGAATTTAACCTCTGACATCTTTGGTGTGAACGTGCCCAAGGTGGCTAGCAGTGAGAAAAAAAACATTTAGTCTATCCGTTTTTAACAATAACAAAACAAGATATCAGATAAAACACAACCAATCTGCAACAAGATGTGGATCAACCAAAATGTTTACAGGGTCTTAAAAGAACTAAAATTAAATAAAACATCAGAGCTTTTGCCTGGCATCAGAAAGTTAGCAGCATAAGTACCCGGGGAACCTGCCTGAAGTATTCATTCCAGAGATATTATGCCACAACTGAAAAAGCCCTGCTACCTGTCACCGCGGATTGACTCTCTCAGCAAAGCCACAGATGAAGACTCAGTGATTGCGTGGACTTAATGCTGGGCAAGACAATCCAAAAAGTAAGCATGTCCCAAGCTCAGTCCCTGGAGCTGAGTTAGAAACATACCAGGAGCCAACGGGCTCTTTTACTATTGGCAATATGGGATCCTGCCTCATTTAGCAGCCTAATGTCTGGATTCGGACTAACTGCAGCTTCTGATCTGTCTTCAAAGCAGTCCTAGATTCAACATACTGCAGTGGCCCACTTTGGAAGTTAACCAGTGCATGTGTTGCCGTGCCCAGGCTATTTCCACCCGGGTGGGACCAGAGTTGGTGTGCGAGCCTAAGCTGGTGGAAGGAGCTCCTAGCTGCAAGGCTCACTTTGGTTTCCAATGCAGCCTGGATCCATGAGCACCTCCACGCTGCAAACCTAACAGCATGGGGGTGCTTTTGTCTACAAATCCTATCATCCTGCACCACTGACTATGCTTACTAGGGCTGATGGAACTTGTAGGCCAAAATATCTGGAGGCTGCACAGGTGGGGAGTGCAGTAACTAAGCACCACCTCCTTCATATGACAGGCCAAACACCAACAGCACTGCCAACTTGTTGGAATGGATTGTCAAGTATTGGCACTTGTCCACCCAATTACTATTCTCTTACTCCAGTGTAGCACTCCCACTGCATCATCTAACAGATGCTAATGAGAAACAGCATGGGATGTGGTCAACATACTGGTGGCACCTTGCTCCAAATCCCCAGATGACCTCACTGAGCCATTTCATGTGGATATTAAATACAATGGAGAAATAGAGCGAGCGGACCATAGCAAAAATGCTATGCATTAGTCAGTGACGTTAACACCACTTTGCCTTAGTGTACACCGTGAAACCTGGTGAACGCACCTGGGAAATGCCATACTAGCCAGGTTTCCATAATACTAGCTGTGGATATGGATGGATATTTCTTCTTTTCTATTTCTGTTCTATCTCTTCTAGGAATTATGTTTGAGTCATAACATTTCAGAGGTTCACAATGAACTAGTCCAGTCCTTTAGACCAATAATAACAGTTTTAGAACAAAAGCCTAAACAAAACAATGTTTTCTTTTGCAAAGAGCAGTGGCAGTGCAACCATATACATGTTTACTTAGAAGTTTCACTGTTCGGTGGAGCTTAGAGACAGGTAAGTACGCATGGAATTGCAGTGTCATAACAAATTTTCTATACGTTTATGCAAAAGTAAAATACAGGGGAGATCCAGAAATAGATTCTTCATGGTATCATCAAGGAACAATCTGGCATTTTCCATAGTCAGAAGAGGTCAATGTTGCAGATTGGATGAACCTAGAGGGGGGAAAACCCAATCATTTGAAAGTAAGACCAGGAGGAGATCAGACCTGTGGAAGAAAATGCGTTGTCAAACTTCAATTGCATCTAGAACATCTTGGTTAGTAAAATGTAACTTCAGCCGGCCCCCACTGGATCCCAGCTCAGGGTCACGGTAAGTTATGGCAAAATTCCTGCTGATGTCTTTTAAGGGTTGCACATCCAGTGCAGCAGCGGCAGAATGTGCTCTGACAAGCCATGTGGGCCCTGAAGCCTCAGGGGCTTGGTTAGGTGCCAGGTGTCCTGCCGCTCTCCCAACGCAGTTGTCTGTACAGCTGAGCTTGAAAGCATGCATTTTTCAGGCTCTGACGAGATGCAGACATGAAGAACGACCATTAGACTAACCATGGATCCGCTTTTAACCTGGATTTTTGACCCTTGTCTTGCAATATATTCATTGGAAGAATGCAGCGTTTCCCATTCATTTCTAGTATAAACTGATTCTAATGCTTCAGGATAATCTTGCCCTATCAGGTCAGCATAGTTAATATGCACTGTTTTCTGTGGCTTGTCCCATAGTCCTACAGCAGAGGTGGACAACTGGCAGTGCTCCAGATGTTGCTGGACTTCAACTGCCGTTGTTCTTTACCATTGGCTATGCTGGGTAGGTATGACGGGAGTTGCAGTGGATCAGCAACTAGAGGGCCAGAGGTTGCAGATCCTGCTTCTCAAGCAGGGGGGAGTTGATGCTGCTGGCTGCATACCAGCTTTTGTTGTTTCATCCTGCCCAGTTCCTCCTACAATCCTCCATATCCTTCGTTTCTTTGATCCTCCCTTCAGCTCTTCACATGAACCACACTGCTCCCTTAATCATTACCTTCCATGTATATATACCATATTCAGGTGGAAAGATTGGACGTTTCCCCAGCATCCATGTACCTGTTGCCCCTGCAGGACTTCCCATGTATTGAGCAGGTTATTCATTGTTTGGCAAGACTAAAAGTATCTATACTTTTTTTATAATGTTAATGTGTTCTATATTTTTAGTGTTTTATATTTTAACTGATGTTTTGCAAGCCACCCCGAGGCTTCGGTGAATGGGGTGGCATAGAAATTTTTTAATAAATAAATAAACGCATGCTGTCCTTTCTGGCAGTCTTCTGAAGGTACAAATATCCAGAGTGGGGCTGGAAGGCATCTTCCCCCAACATGCAACTTCTGCATGTGGAAAACTTATAAGTGAGGAGAAGAGGAAGGGAGTTCATCTACAATACAACAGGGTATATAAAGATGTCCATATTTTGAGTAGAAAACCATTTGTATAATCACAGTCTCCTCTCAAGAGCACTGAACTCCGGGGCAACCAGCAGATGCAGAAGCTGGTCCCATGGCTTACTGATTGGGTAGCCCCTGTACCAATCAGGAATCCTTCCCAGCTGATTGTATAGCAGGTTAACTGGCATATGACACTCATAAAATTACTCCCTACCCTTCCCCTAATCCAAAATAACGTCTTTAAGTGCACAAAAAGATACTGACATTCTTATTTTAAGTTTTTTGTGGGTAACAAAATGAATCAGTTATTTGTCTAAACAAAAAAGTGCTTCACCTTAACAATAAAAGTACCAGTTGCTTGCCTCAAACTGAGAGGGGCAAGAATCCACGCTGCTTTCAAAGTGAGGTGAATGTGTTAGACAGGAGGGGGAAAGCAGAGCCTGAACTGCTGCAGGAAAAACAAGCAAGCACTGGCCACAGGCATTGGCCTTGTTGGCACCTATTGTTCCATCAGGATTTCCGCCATGAGAGTACAAGGTAATTTGCAACATTGAAGCCAGGTTCTGTGAACTAAGAACTGGTTCAATGTGTAAAGTAAACCTAAGTCAATTCTATCCTCTTCTCCCACCACACCCCACAATATTCTCTCCAGTTTTTTAAAAATTACCTCTTGGTTTTCCTCCAGATGTTCCAATAAGAGTTCAGTGGTTTAGGTGACCAAAATGTCTGCTCTTCAAGACAGGACTGGAAATATTCTCCTCCTGTGCAGTAAGCAGTGGAAATTTTAGCTTAATTAAAAATCATTGCAACAATCACCAGCCCTTTTACATGAGACTGATTTAAGCTTCCATGTATCCTATTCTTAGAACTGGATAAATGTTTAAAGTATTGTTATCATAGAATGGGGAGAACCAGCATGGTTCCAAAATATCTACAAAATGTCAGTTTGCTGCTAGTATCTAGCAACTCTGGCTTTCAGAGTCTTCTAAAGAACCCAAAACTGTCTGAAATTTGTTGTTGTTGATGATGATGATGATGATAATTTTCATAATTATTTCTACTATTTATTTCATTTCATTTCTATCAAATAATGAAAGCAATTTACAAAAATGTAAACCTAAAACACCTCGGAGTCTCCTCCAGGCTGAAAAGACCCAGTTCCCTCAGTCTCCCCTCATACGGCTTTCCCTGCAATTCGGTCACCATCCTTGTGGCCCTACACTGCACTGACTCTAATCTGGCTATATCCTTCCTGTAATGAGGGGCCCAGAACTGAACACAATGCTCCAGTTGCAGGCGCACCAGCGTCATATAGAGTGGTAGTAATACCTCTCTTGATCGAGAAGCCACATTTCTGACTATGCAACCAAGGGTGGCGTTCACCCTCTTGACCACTGCATCACACTGCTGACTCATGTTTAACCTGCAGTCCACCAGTACCCCAAGATCCCTTTCACAAGTGCTGCTCTCCAGCCACTTGTCCCCTAACCTGTAATTATGACACTCATTCCTATGCCCCAAGTGCAAGACCTTGCACTTATCCACATTGAACGCCATCCTGTTGTCTCCTGCCCACTTCCATAGTCTGTCCAGATCCTTCTGGACTCTGGATCTGGAGTACCTGCTCCTCAGTTGTGGCCACTGCCCCCGTTTTAGTATTGTCCATAGATTTGATCAGCAGACTGTTCACCCCTTCTTCCATGTCATTAATGAAAAGATTAAACAGGATTGACCCCAAGACAGAGCCCTGGAGGACTCCACTTGTCCCTGGCCACCATCCTGATGATTCCCCACTAATGGTTACCCTCTGCTTTCAGTCAGTCAACAATGCCCTAATCTACCGGATTAATCTACTGGATTAATCTGCTTTGGTGTATCCCAAAACTCCTCAGTTTCTCCACCAGGATATCATGGGGCACTTAGTCAAAGGCCTTGCTGAAATCCAGGTAAACCACATCCACTGCATCCCCTCCGTCTAGCCATCTCGAAACCTTGCCATAGAATTCCACAAGGTTTGTCTGGCAGGACCTGTTTTTGCGGAAGCTGTGTTGTGTGGCTGTCAGCCTCCCTTC